GAAGGCTTTGTTGAGACACTGCCCTTTCACTTGTTGGGAAAAGTGCTCAATGGGGATGAATTGTGTTTGGAAATATTCAGTTAACTCTTTTAGGATCTTCGTGGAGCTGGAGGAGCAAGAAGGAAAGCACCAGGGGTGGGCCTCTCTCCCCATCACCAGAAGGTAGAAGGTGTGGGAGGAATGCAGTAGATCTGGGTCAGGATGAAAGTGGTTACAAGATTGTCGAGGTGATTAAGTGACACGGCATGCAGGTAAAACACTTACCCTTTGCCTGGTATACCATATCCGCCCCCGCCCTCCCCCCTCCATGAATGTGAGCAGTGTATTGTTCTAGTAATAATTATTACAACAGCTTCATAGTTTTCCTTTGCCATGTCTCAGCTCTGAACTTTTTGCCTCATGGCTTACACAGAATTAATGGCAGGCATGACGTAGGTGGTGGGCCAGTCGGAGAAACAGTGTGTGCCATTCGTCGGGCACAGCTTTCTCTTTTCACCGAGTGTGGCTAGAAAGCTTTGTTATGGGCTGAAGAAAGGCGCTCGTGTGGAAGATGTTTCTTTGAGAGAGTGTTCTCGTGGGTGCTTTGTCTGACGTCCTAATACTTGCTTTTCTTACGTGATTGGTTTCCCTGAGGCCGGGCGGCCGTGGTCAGGTCTGCCCGCTCTGCACTCACAGGCTGCCTCCTGGCACACATTTCCGAGTCCTCTTGTGAGCCTGGGGAGAGGTTTGGGCATCCCACTTTTTTAAAAAATATATTTTATTGATTTTTACAGATTGAAAGGGAAAAGGATAGAGAGTTAGAAACATCGATGAGAGAGAAACATTGATCAGCTGCGTCCTTCACGCCCCCTACTGGGGATGTGCCTGGGACCAAGGTACATGCCCTTGATCAGAATCGAACCTGGGACCCTTCAGACCGCAGGCCAACGCTCTATCCACTGAGCCAAACTGATTAGGGCTGGGCATCCCACTTTTGAGACTGTACCCACTGCAGGCCCTTATGGGATGCATTTTCCCCCAAAGTAGAGGCCCTGATCTTGTTTATCCCAAGAGATATTGGGAAAGAGCATAAAGTGAGGGTTCCAGGGTGTTCGGCTCCAGTCCCAGAGGTGTCATTTGTGTGGCCTTAGTTTCTTCAAGGTGTAATGGGGAGGATTCCGGTCAGGATGAGAACATGTGCCTGGGAGGGCTTGTGAACTGCTAAATGTAAGGGTGGCATGTTGATGCTGTTACTGTCCTTACTAACCCAGGGAGTTGGTAAGAGCAGAGACCCATGCTGGTGACTCTAAGGGGGCCCTTTGGTGGGAGCTTCCCAGCAAGGAATGTTTTCTGACATTGTATGTTGAAACCCATCCATCAGTTTACTCACCCATTCATCCATTCATCCACCCACCCACCTATCATCCAGCCAGCCAGCCAGCACTTACTTATTGAGCTGATATTATATATGCCAAGCAGTGTTCAAGGCCCTGGGTGAGTAAATAGTAAACAATTCCAGCCTTCATTGAGCATGCTTTTGAGTGGGGGCGGGGATTGAAATAAACAAGATAAGTAAATAAAATATGAAGTACCTTTTCACGAACAGACTTGGTGGTTTGAGACCCAGTGGTTGGCATCCTGAAGCAGGTGTTGTCTTCTCTCTCATACACCCTGTTTCTGTTGTGTGCACCACACTGCTTCCCAGCAGACATGATAAGCACCCTGAGGGCAGAGATTGGGTTGGGTTTGCCATATTTCTCTGGTGCCTAATTTAGTGACAGACACCTGGTAGGCACGCAATGTGGTTATCAATCACAGTCTACCATATAAAGAGGGGAGAAGTAAAAAGTCCCACAGGTACCCATTTCCTGAATGTCTTCTCTGGAATTAATTTACATATAGTATATAAATAAGTGACACATATTTAAATGCCTCTTCACTTAACAATACTATTTTGAAGATCATTTCCTTTTAGAGATTTCATATTTTTAAAAATAACTCTACCCCCTTAAATGGATGTACCACGATTTATTTAACCAGTTCCCTAGTGATGCTTATGTCATTGTTCGCAATCTTTTTTAAAAAAGTATCTTTTTATTGATTTCAGAGAGGAAGGGAGAGGAGAGCGAGAGATAGAAACATCAATGATGAGAGAGAATCATTGATCGGCTGCCTCCTGCACACCCCCTACTAGGAATCGAGCCCACAACCTGGGCATGTGCCCTTGACCAGAATGCAACCCAGGACCCTTCAGTCCACAGGCCGACACTTTATCCACTGAGCCAAACTGGTCAGGGCCCAACACCCATTTTGAAGGGAGAGGAGAGCGAGAGATAGAAACATCAATGATGAGAGAGAATCATTGATCGGCTGCCTCCTGCACACCCCCTACTAGGAATCGAGCCCACAACCTGGGCATGTGCCCTTGACCAGAATGCAACCCAGGACCCTTCAGTCCACAGGCCGACACTTTATCCACTGGGCCAAACCGGCTAGGGCTGTTTGCAGTCTTTTGCTGGGATGAACACTCCATGAGGAATAATGTTCATATGTCATTTGCACATTTGCAAGTCCTGCAGAATAATTCTGAAAAGTGGGAATACCGACTCGGGACTTACCACATGGTATTAATTCACAAATGAGGGCAGAAAAAATGAGACCCAGGAGTAGACTAATGACCACATGTAGTGGGCACGTCACCAGCCCCTGTGTTCTGTCCCAAGTCCTACGGCATCTAATATCAGTCCTTTTGTTTCTGCGCTAGGCTGGAGAATCCACATTCAATCGCGCCAAGCTCCTCAACGTTGGCTTTCAAGAGGCCTTGAAGGACTACGACTACAACTGCTTCGTGTTCAGCGACGTGGACCTCATCCCAATGGATGACCGGAACACCTACCGGTGCTTCTCCCAGCCACGGCACATTTCTGTGGCAATGGATAAGTTTGGATTTAGGTAAGAGCTGTTCACCAGAGTGTATAGAAAACATGTTCCTCTCTGATATGACAGCAAGGAGATGCACTTTCTCCAGCCAGGGGAGCTCTATGCTCTGGAGAAGAGTGCCTCCTCTGAGTAATAATTCTTTCCATCCTCCCTTGCTGAGGGCATGAGGTCTGTGAGATAAATATAGGGTTGTTGTAAAGTCCTTCCCCCAGATCAAAGGTATTCAGGCCCTAGTCTTGCTGTCTTGCGGGAGCGGGGGCATTTAGCTGTAAAAGTCACTCTCTGCACTCCATCTTCCCTCCCTCTCTCCCTGTTTGTGTATCGTCTTTTTGAGATACACAGGCTTATACCCTGACCCCTCTTAATTCCGCCCTTGAAGCATGGTGGGGATCCCCTAGTTCTTTTCCACAGCACCATGTCTGTTTTCCCAGAACCATTTAGGCTTGGGGGATGGGCAGGAGGTAAGAGAAAGCAGCAGAGACAGCAAAACTAGATCTTGTCAGCTCAGCTGGTACTTCCCCTAGAAGTGGCTAAGAGTCCATTTCTGTAAAAACACTCATTATCGCCAAAACCGGTTTGGCTCAGTGGATAGAGCATCGGCCTGCGGACTGAAAGGTCCCAGGTTCGATTCCAGTCAAGGGCATGTACCTTGATTGCAGGCACATCCCCAGTGGGGAGTGTGCAGGAGGCAGCTGGTTGATGTTTCTCTCTCATCGATGTTTCTAACTCTCTATCTCTCTCCTTTCCTCTCTGTAAAAACTCAATAAAATATATTTAAAAAAACAAACAAAAAAACACTCATTATCAAAAAACTTTATTGGTGTGGCCACCTCAGGTTCAAACCCTTACGTTGCAAGTGCAGACTGTACTGTGAGGAAAGCAAAAGGTGGCTGACTTGGCCCCTCAGTGCTGGTAGCTTATGACAAATAGATGACCTTAGATTCATTAAGGCAGGTCCCCAGGAAGCTTGCTTGTGGATACTTGCAGTCAGAGTTCAGAATTCCTGAATGGATTTGAAAATGATAACTGCTTTTTTTTTTAGGTTTTGTTTTTCTTGGGTTCTATATGGTTGGCTGACTTTTCTCTTGAAATCTGAGTTAGCATTTTTCTTAATTTGTGTGATAGGTTTTGGTTTCTCTGGATTCCAGTAAGAGCCTGAATGTGGTTTGGAACTGCACACAGGAGTAAGAAAAAAACCCCACAGCCTTTAAAGGACCCCCAGAAGGCCTTTGCATGGTCTCTGGGCATGCCCTCATTCTGATTCTTAACATTTCTCATCCGCTTCCTCTGTATCCCTCAGGAGGCCACAGTTCATAAACATTGAAACATTGAAATACAAAAAGGTTTGGAGGGACGAGAGCCCAGATGCCCTGCTGCTTGAAAATGTGTCAACATAGATTCACCATTAATTATACCTGCTGCGAAGTCAGGACATGGTAGAAATTTCCAAGAAAATGTTCAGGAATGCTATCTTTTTTTTTTTTTAATCAGAAAATTTGCCTGTTTTATTGATGCATCACAATTGCTCTATATTTTACCCTATTATGTAGAAAATACTGAAAATACAAGCTATTTTGTAAAACCAAAGACAAGCATAGAGTCCAAAGATCAACTATGTTTAACACAATGAACCCTCCCCCGCGCCCTCCCCAGGGCCCCACCTGTAGTTATTGGTAAATTTTAAATATGTATTTATTTTGTGAAAATGATTTTTTTACATACTTTCTAAGTACATCTGCATTATAAACATAGCTCAGTCATTCTCAGAGACTGTTTCTTGAGGCTTGTTGTAAAAGGAAGCGCACAACCAGAAAAGGGAGAAAGCAGAAAAAGTTGAAATCGCACACAATAGCTAGCATGTAAAGTACACTTAATAAAGTTGGAATTCAAAAAAAAAAAGTTGGAATTCCGTTGCAATATCAAGGACTCAAAGCAGAAATACTAACGTTATATATACTGTACATATAATGCACTGCTACATGTAGTGAGGTTATTTTTTCAAGCTGAATCAAAACCACACACTAAGTAAGTGTAGCAACTTATTCTGATGATGAATGCTGCACCATTCGTCAGTTAAAAACAAAATCAAAATAGGAAGCAGGTTTGGGCCATTCCTGTCATTGAGAAGCAATTTCATTTCCTAACTGAAAACAAACCGTCCTGAGCAGTGAGCGTTTGCACAATAGTGACGACTAAAACACACATCACTGTGCTTGCCTGACTGAGGGCAGTCAAACTTCGCTCCTCTCCTGGGGGATGATGGATGGCAGAAATGCTCTCTTGATTTTTTTTTTTTTAGAGGGAGAGAGCGAGACACATCCAGGTGAGAGAGAAACATCGATGGGCTGCCTCTGTCATGCCCCCTACTGGGGATCAAGCCCACAACCCAGACATGTACCCTGACCGGAATTGAACCAGCGACACTTGGGTGCAGGGGACGATGCTCAACCCACTGAGCACACCGGCCAGGGCCACAAATGCTATCTTGACTATTGGGATCAGTCAGTTTTCAAGCCAGTATACCTTGGAAGAATGAAAGCTGGACTGGAGGATGGGATGGGTACATGACAGCGTGGGCACAGGGAGACCCTAGAACAGCCTCAGAGTCCAGGACTTCTTGGATGAGGGTTTCCCGTGTAGGAGCAGATTCCTGTCTGGTGCAGAACTGGGCTCATGCTCATGTAACCGACTGATTTCCTAGATCACCACAGAAGCGACACAGTGTTTTTAGAAAGAAGATTCTATTGTGTGTTTCCTGTGTCTTCTCTAAGATTATCTGAGTCTACTATAAAAACAAAACAAAGAAAGCCATCATAAATCTCCAGTTTAAAAGTTTCAGAGAGTAAAAATAACTTCAGGAGTGTTTATTTTGAGCAAGTTTTATTTCAAGGAAGTCAAAACCTACTAACCACTGGTCCTCTGTGTGTGTGTGTGTACGTGTTTTCTTTATTTTTCCCCCCAGCTTACCTTATGTGCAGTTTTTTGGAGGTGTGTCTGCTCTAAGTAAACAACAGTTTCTCACCATCAATGGATTTCCTAATAATTATTGGGGCTGGGGAGGTGAAGATGACGACATTTTTAACAGGTAATGGTCACAACTTAGATCTCCTCCTTCTCTGTCTCCCTTCACGTCTAGCTTTTCAGTCAGTGCTGATTATTCTGCTGGGCCTTCGACCCCCAGGAAGGATGCATCCTCACTCAGCCCAGGGTCTTACGTGTGCCCAGCTGTAGACACTGTACGTGCTGACGATGTCTTTAGGAAAATTAGCTACTGCTATTTAAAGAAAAAAAAATCAAATTTATTGATTTTTAGAAAGAAACACTGATTTCTTGTTCCACTTATTTATACATTCATTGGTTGTTTCTGTATGTGCCCTGACTGGGGATCAAACCCACAACCTTGGCGTATTGGAATGACACTCCAACCAGCTGGGCTACCCAGCCAGGGGAGCGTCTGTGATTTTTGCATTAGCCTTGGGAAATGGAAAATGAGAACCAAGTGAAGGAGTGGACTTGGATGCATACCGCGTGCCATTTTGTTCTGAAGGGGTAAACATGTGTCCTTCAGCCCTAGCTGGTTTGGCTCAGTCGATAGAGCATGGACTGTGGACTAAAGGGTCCCAGGTTCAATTCCTGTCAAGGGCACATGCCCAGGTTACAAGCTCAATCCCCAGTAGGGGGCACGCAGGAGGCAACTGATCAATGATTTTCTCATCATTGATGTTTCTATCTCTCCTTTCCCTTCCTCTCTGAAATCAATAAGAATATATGAAAAAACAAACAAAACAAAACAACACACGTGTCCTTCGTAAAAATTCAGCATCTCATTGTGGTCATGTTTGAGTATGAAACAAGTTTCTTTGGATAGGATTCCAAGTTCTTCACAGAATCTTGGTACTGTTTTATTTCGTTAACTTTTTGGGCTATTTTTAACATACACGAAAGAGGACAGAGTAGTGTGATGGTTGCTGTGTACCCACTGGCCCCGCAACCATCATTTCACAGCCAACCCCCAACACCCCCACCCTTGGACTCCCTGGAAGTTGGTAAACCTTTTTCATGTATGTTGTCATTGCAGATGGTATAAATCACCTGTCAGTAGCATTTGAAACCACATTCTGCCCAGTTCTCCCCGGCAGTGGAGGCTTCGACCCTGCCAGCTACAGATTAAAAGCACCTACTCCCTCTGGGAGCCAGTCTGAACTTGTCTCTGAGTTTGATGTCAGAATACACCCTGGTGCCTTCCTGGATTGCAGAACACTAATTGGATCAGTTAACAGAAGGTGTCTGTCAGAGCAGCACCCAAGTCATTCAGGGTTAACGTTCTGTGAGAACCTGGCATGGGCCCAAGTCTTTAAGACAGGCCTTGACGAACACTTGAGTTTTCAAGTAATGCAGATCGAGTGTCCGCTGCGTGAGAGCACTGCCAGGTGGGCCCCATCGGGAAGACACTGAAGACATGGACATGGAGTCCAGACAGAAACAAACTTGTACCCACAGTACCACACCTGGGCAGACACGGGGCTGATGTGACAATAGAGACCTGAGTGGTCACAAAGGTTGAGGGTAGAGGGGGCAGAGGCACAAAGTACCAACATCCTAGGCTGGAGGGACTAGAAGGGTGAGTGGTTCGTGGAGCAGCTTTTTTGGAAAAGAAAGGACCTAACTCTTACTATAACACCTACTCACTGTGTGCCAGGTCCTGGGGGCAAGGCCAGCAACCTTTAAAGTCACCCAGGAGCACTGCCTCTTAACTTCTCTATTCCTGCTTTGGTTTTGGTCCTCATTCCTTTCCACTAGACCAGTGGCCGTCAAACTGCGGCTCGCGAGCCACATGCGGCTCTTTGGCCCCTTGAGTGTGGCTCTTCCTAAGCCTTAGGCGTACCCTAATTAAGTTAATAACAATGTACCTACCTATATAGTTTAAGTTTAAAAAATTTTGGCTCTCAAAAGAAATTTCAGTCGTCATACTGTTGATATTTGGCTCTGTTGACTAATGAGTTTGCCGACCACTGCCCTAGACCCACACACAGAACCTTCCATGCCGTTCTGGCTGCCCCTAGTCTTATTCCCTACTCCCCCTTTTTATACTGCTTATCAGAGAGATGTCTCCCTGGCTAAAAAACATTTGGGAAACACTGCATATTCCATCCTTTTCGGACACTGGCACGGTTCACTGTTGCTTGAAGCTTTGAGAAGGCCTCCATGACTTAGCCTTTGTCCATCTTTTCAGCCTCATCTCCAGCCACTTCCAGCCCCAGATCCTTTCACCATCCCCGAGGCTGTGTTGCTCCTGAGGGCACCGTGCTTGCTCTCCCTGCCTGCCTTTGCCTGTGCTTTCCCGGCCACCCACACGGGTCTGGCCGGCGCCATTCATCTTCACGGCCTGGCTCTGCCTGCTGTTGCTCTGTGACGATGATTTGTCCCTTTGCTCTCTGCAGGTTAGTTTTTAAAGGTATGTCTATATCTCGCCCAAACGCTGTGGTTGGGAAGTGTCGGATGATTCGCCACTCAAGAGACAAGAAAAATGAACCCAATCCTCAGAGGTGTGTTCTGTGTTTGTTTATATTCCTTCTTCCCTCTCTAGGTTGGGGCAGAAATGAGCTCTGGGGAGGGCTCCATGCCGGGAGGGGGCGGGGGAGGGTTCGCTCCAACAAAGTGCAAATGTTTAATGCTTTTTTCCTTAAGATTTTTGTTTTGACACCAACCTCTTGCTCTTTTTTTCCTTGTAGGTTTGACCGAATTGCACACACGAAGGAGACAATGCTGTCTGATGGTTTGAACACACTGACTTATAAGGTGTTGGACATAGAGAGAAACCCATTATATACCAAAATCACAGTGGACGTCGGGACACCGAGCTAGCATTTTGCTACCCTGATAAAGACCTAAAACTGGCCAGGGACCTCTGCTGTGTCTCTGCCAACGTGCTGGGCTGGCCCCTCATTCTTACCAATCAGCGTGATAGCCCCCTTCGCTCGTCATTTACACGCCTTTCCGGATGACCAGAACAAGTGGGGTATTTTGCCCCCAGCTTGCCTCGGCGTGTGACTTCTTAGCTCTATGAGGTGTTTGTATGTGTAGAAACTGTCAGCCTCTGGGGGTTCTCAGCATGTTCACAGTGTCACCCCAAAGAATCAGAGTGTATACAGCCCCACATTTGGTGACTGTGGGACTCATTCCCAGTGGTAAACTGCAAATTTGTTGTGAAATAGGTAAGAATTTTGTTTTAAATCGTGTATTCTTATTACTTTATGCAAAATTGGAGAGTGCTGCTGAAATTGGATTGGTGTGATATTTTTTGGTTGTCATATTTTAAACAGAAAAACTGTGTCAACCATTCTCATTTTACCCCCCCACACACACACCTTCTTTTAGTGCTACACAACTGTTCCAATCACTGTGTGTATCTCTTCTCAGCAAGAATTCTAAAACGTGAGCCTCAGACCTTTTGCCCTGCTAACGTGTGAATTCCAAGGCAACTTTAGCCATCAGAGCAAAATACTTGGGTGTTCTCACATTCAGTGGCCTTTCTCCACATTGCCTGATTTCTGAATGTAAAACTTTTTAGAAAGAGCAGGTTACATTTTGTAGTATTTTAAAGACCAAATCAAATTCTGATTGCTGATCTAGCTTGATTTTGTGTTGATCCAGATTTTCATGGCTGTTTAGTGTTCAAACATGGCAGTTGATTTTTCTGAGTATGTTACGTAAACTTGAATTTCCTATGTACTTTTATTGTGGTGTTTAAATGTGAGGAAGGGACTGAGCATTTTTTTAGGGGCGGGACAGGGGGCGATTCTGTATGCTGTAGTGCCCATGAGCAGGCCTCTGATTTAGCTGGCCGGCCAGGTTTTGTGAAGAGCAAAATCACCTTTGGGTCCTTTGATGAGGCAAACCC